CAACACGTGATGCTGCTGGCAACACGAGATGCTGCTGGCAACACGTGATGCTGCTGGCAACACGAGATGCTGCTGGCAACACGAGATGCTGCTGGCAACACGAGATGCTGCTGGCAACACGTGATGCTGGCAACACGTCTCGGAAAAACTTCCATATTTATCAACCGATCTTTCTGAAATTTCACACACATACGTATATGGTAAAATAAAAAACAATTTGCTTGTTTGATTTTTTGAAAAGATGAAAGAAAACGTGAAATTAATAGAAAACTGTAGAAAAGAGGATACTTTAAAATTTTTATAACTTCTGCAAATCATATGCTACAACATCGAGAACATTTCATTCGATTCGTAACAAAATTATCTTGCGGCTCTAGAACCCCGATTTTCGATTTTTCTCATCGTTTTTCTTTTATGCACGTTTTTCCATTTCGCCACATTTTTCCCTGCCCCACCCCCGCTCCGCCCCCCATATATAAGTCAAACCATGTACAAATAAAAAAATAGCTCCTAGAGTCGCTAGGTATGGTCTTTACAAACCGAATGATATGTCTTTCTATGCTGTAGCTTAAATACTGTAGGAGTAATAACACTTTTAGACTGAAAAAATGAAAATTCAAATTTTTCAGGAAACCCAAAAACTGAAAAGGTCGCGTGCCAAAATCAACCAATTGTCAGGTACTAAAATCAACCTAGTGAACGAACAAACGCACGCACAGACATGCCGATGACACCATCAGATGTGCCAAATTTGAAACATTAAATTCATGTGGTTAACAAAAACGGCAGCGATCAGTACATACATCCAGGTTCTATGTACAGTAATGTCATGGACCCTTTTTGAAATACTGTAATTTTGTTTCATGCAGTCGAATGTGTGAATTTTCATTAAGAATTACTCCTGAAAACTGGGTCTGCATGGGATTAATTGCATTTGATAGAAGAACCGAAATGTCAGGATGAAATACATTAACAATAAAAATTCTGTAATTTAGTTCATTTGATAGAATCAAGCAATATTTAGGGACAGTTGCAAATGTGTACACATGCATGTATCGAAAGTACAAAACATGAATTTTTAAGATCATATTATGAAAATCCATGCTCCGTTCAAAACAACGAGCTAAACGAGGTGCAAGTAAGTACACCTAATGTAGAGTTGAAGCGATTAATTGTTTCATGCAACGTCTAAAATAAATTTAGGAGCACTCTTATTTATGTACCTATTTTGTTAAGATATAAACGCTACTATTCTCTGAAAATAATCACTAACTTGGTCAATTGCCTCTATCAAAAATATTTAAATGAAACTTTGATTCCTTTGGATATCATTCCGCCAAGTTATTACCAAAATGATGTTATAAGAATTAATTATCGATTAATTGAAGCGTGTTCTCAGTATCGCAATCTAACGAATTATGTTAAGGTTGATTCCACGTCACGATAAGTATGTTATGGTGATTATCAATCGTCACGATAAGTAATCATGACCGTACATCCATTTTTTTCTGGTAAAATCGTGAAAAACGTGCGCGTATTTTTGTTTAACCCGTGCGACAACTGTAGTAATATTTTAACCTTTTTCAAACAATTTTTTTCGAGTGAACAATACGTTGCAAAATTAATTGGAACAGTATTCCAAAAATTCTTGACAATTTGACAAATTACAACAAATTATACACCTGGTATCCTCAATTGCAAATAAATTTTGAACAGTAATACCCTTCAAAAGTAACCATAAAACACCATTTAGCCTCGAATTTATTTTATGCACCGAATATTTTCGAGAATTATGGGTCATCTCGTCAAAAAGAAAATGCTTTGTAAGCACAGGAAATAGCAGCTGTGCGGTTGTGCATGTTTGTGCAGATGGCCCAGCGAACATGCAAGTGCGTGTTAAAATGTCTGTTGTTTTTTTAGGTGCTGAAAAGCTTCAGTAGAAATTAGTAACTGCTTTAGTTCAAGAGGGCGATGCCTTTACGTCTCTTTCTTACCTTTACTTTTCGGATAAGGGCTTCCTTACTCTGCAAGTGTGTGTTCCATATATTTTATTAATTATATTTATGTTTTTATTGAATTGACATGGCTGGTGGAAAAATTCCCTTAGACCATCAAATTTCATGGAAATTTTTGTTAGGGTAATTTTTATGGGGAATTTTTACTTAAGAATTTTAATTTTTGGAAATCAGGATTTGTCGTGCGAGTAGCGGATCCGAGAAAAGTGCTCGCTATCACTATTTTGCTCGCTTTCTAGGAGTCGTGGTAAACCGCCCCCTCCCCTACAAAAACACTAACAAAAAAAAAAAAAAACAGGAGTCTCCAAAAAAAAACAATAATCTTAGAACGGGTTTTCTGTCCATTATATTTTCCTTGATACCTTTTCCTTTGTTAAAGAAAAGGATTTTTAAAACATTTTATTGGTGAAGAAGTCAATGCTCGTTTTAAAAGTAACGTTAGTTTTCAGAAATAGACAGATTTATAATAAAGTAATCACAGTTGAAATATCATTATAATTACTCCTAAGTTTGCCTATTGGAATAGTGTCCTCTTCCGATCACGCACATTCACGTTCTTTGCAGTCCGGTTAAATTTTTGTTTGAACTTGATGATTTTGTAAATGTGATCAAAAAAATCAACTTGCGATAAATAAATTAAAATAATGCAAATTTCAGGATTGACTTCACTTCGATATCTTTAAATTGAGAATACGAAGTCACGAAATAATTGGACACTTCGGGTCTGTTGAATAAATAAGCGAATGGAACTGTGATGAGCGTAGTCATGCTACCAGCAGTATGGCTATATCTTTCGCGGATTTCGAGAACAGTTTTAACGGCAAGAAAAGAAATAATCTTCTAGAATTACGCGGCCACAAATTTCGCAAACGATGAAAAGCCTCCAGTCATCTCAGGAGTTCATTATGAACCGCAGTAACAGGTCGAGGAGATGGGCATCTGCCACGCGCCCCAGTGAAATCGAGGCTCGGGCTCACATGTCGCCCCAGCAGATGGTGGAGTCTCAGCAGCTGCCCAAGCAGTCTTCATATCCGCATCCGCCCCAAGATGCAGAAACCGAGGTGCAGTTAAGGCGGGGATAGGATAAGCCAAACTCTTTGGACACAAACCTTCGAGGACGTTCCCGTCACCCTGCGATGAACTCAATCAAGTCGGTCGACCGCACTTTGCGAATTATCGATGCAGAAATCGATAAATCTTTGAGAACTGCTATCGACGCTACACGTAGAGGATTGGAGCTGAACGAAAAGCGAAAAACGATCAAAGGTTATGAAAAAGAGCTTAAGAAAGAACGTTCGTTAACTGTTGACGACCGAAACCCATACCAGATTCTGCCAAATTCTTTGGACACAAACCTTCGAGGACGTTCCCGTCACCCTGCGATGAACTCAAGCAAGTCCATCGATAACAGTTTGAGAATTATCGATGCAGAAATCGATAAATCTTTGAAAATTGCTCTCGACGCTACACGTAGAGGATTGGAGCTGAACGAAAGGCGAAAAACGATCAAAGGTTATGAAAAAGAGCTCAAGAACGAACGTTCGTTAACTGTTGACGACCGAAACCCATACCAGATTCTGCCTCGCTCTGAGAGACAAGATCTTCACGGAGATGTGCAGCAACAATGGATGTAGTCGATGGAGAAGGTTCTCATGAAGCTCAACAACCACCTGGAGGCGATCCCCCCAGGGATCGAGCTAAGGTCTGCGACAGATTTGGTGACAGACATTTCCACCTACGTGAAGAATTAAAATGACCAAAATGATGCGTAATAAAATTATGGAACTTCTTTCGATTAGTACGGACAGCCTAGTCTCATGATGAGCCCTAATATCGGTGCATAGAGTCCTGCCCAAGGTTCCCGAAGCCCTCAAGAATGGTCAATGCAAATGGAACGCATGCACAACGATATGAAGCAATCATTTGGTGGAGCTAGTCGTTAGCAAGCCGTGAGATAGGCGTAGCCAATGCTCATGTAGAAGGGCGCTGAACAACTCGAGGAGATGAGAACTGATCCAAGCTACCGAAGAAAGGGCTACTGATGAACGATCTCTTAGTGAAGATTCCGCTGTGAAAAAAGATTGATTTAAATATATATTGAATATTAGTTTTTAGATCATAATTGATTTTTTTATTATCCGCCTTGTTTAATTCTAAAAATATTACGAATCCGAAGTTACGCAAACCTTGCTAATACTTACCATTGTAAATGATATATTGAAATAGTTATTGAGAAAGCCAGCAAGAAGATTATCGATAATCCTCACTCACTAGTATTCATATATATAAATAGATTTTGTGCAAGTTTGATCGAAGCTCAGAGCATGATATTAATGGTATTTTATCCAATATAAAATTCCTGAGCATTCCAATAGTTAAATTTCAAGTGCTGCAAACCATTGCGAACATCAGGAGACTATTTTCTAATAACCAACACGATTTTTATTTTTGAAGGGAAAGAAATAACTGAAGGGGAAGTGACGCAGTAATTTCTTAATTTCGTTTATGGTTTAACAAATTCTCAATAAAAGTATTTCTAGCATTTGCCGCGGCTCGGATAAAGATCCTAAGCAATCGTTTGATGACCGCTTACCGAGCGCTCGTCTTAGTTCATGGAATTTTTTGTCATTAATTATAACTTTTGTCATTTAATTCAAACGCTCATGTACGCATCATAAATACATACTTCGGATATTTTTATTGTAGTGCGATCATTTAATCCGAAAAGAAATAAATTTCTCAAAACGGTGTTTTTGCAAATTTTAAAAATAAGCAGGCCCCCGAATCGTATTTTAAGCGGACGAAATAAATTTTATTTGGTTTAGCTAAACGCTAAAAAAAGTTTCCAATGTCATTTTACTGCATTGATTGCATTTATGAAATTCAAGCTATTCAGTTCAGAAAATAACTTGAGAATTAATTTGTTTCAGAAGGAAAATTTACATTGTTAATTTACGAATTCGTCTCGTGAGCTTCATTCCGCTCAATATTTAACGTTGAAGTTAAATTAAGGTTAATATGCTGTTGCAATTTCTCTGTGATAGAGTTTGAAGTGCTGAAAAATACGCAAACCTAGCAAAACATTTAACATTGTTTTTGATCTTATTTACAGTGTAATTAATTATTTTATAACACACATAACCTTTCTAAAAAGGAATAAAAGGAGATTAAAACGGTCATTGCATGCAGTGTCTGTTTTGACTTGAATAAGTATTTTAGACCACGAGAAATCTAGGTCAATATTCATTCGGGACGCCCAATCGCATATTAATTCGATATACATTAAAATTTTGATGTTTCATTTACAATAACATGTTGTTGTGTGTGGTCTGAGTTGATTCAATTGTTATACGCGATGACGCCCGCTCGCATAAAATCGATCGCTAAATTGATCAAATGAGACCATGCACATTTAATGTCGCACAGTCTAATTGCTTTAGGATACTTTCCCAGGATGTAAAATTTCTTGATGTGGAATCACGAAGCATTGCAAAGTAGGGAAAGTGGGGCTGGAACGTAAATTCGATTCCTATTCTTTTTCTAAGAAATATTCAATATTAGTTCAAATTTAAAATTTTAGCATCCTTCTTCCATGGTAATGTGTCTCAAGTTGAGTTTGAACGACGAGTGATTCTCTTATAATGTGATTTTCAAAATGAGCAACGGGACTCTGGAAAACGCGTTCTATATGCTGCTACTCGGCCCGTATAAAAAACATACGTTCATTTTTCGATTTGATGCATCCAGAGCACTGGCTTCGCCGCCACTGGCCGATCGTTTAACAATTGCTTGACAAATAAGTATTATAGATGTGATATACAGTATATAGGACCTCAATTTAATTCCATGATCATCAACTTGTCAAACTGCTTCACAGCTAGAGCGGAGTTTTTCTGTCTGTGCGCTAACTCGAAATTTTGAAGCCGCTATTGGATTAAGAGTGTGTTCGAGTTCAGTTAGTTCTGTGAACCCTTTACTGAAGATACGTGTTTTACTCCTGGGCGCCGGTATGTTCTTGAATGTCCATCTTGCAGTGATGAATTGCCAGCTCGCACAGGAAAAACAGCGTCGACACCAAGCAACCGCCCAGAAGCACAATGAAAGCGCCCTGTACGAACATGTAAGCTTAGCTCCTAAATAAAAATACACATCAATTATTTGTCCATTTACTTGTATACTTTTATTTTACATATTCCGAAGTAACGAAATCAAACAGTGATTATTCAGGTAGAATAATGTTCGAACCTTGCTGTGCAAATGTTACATTGCACTTTATCAAAATAAAATTGTTCACTTTGTTTAAAAATGCGTTAAAAACAATTTATGCAACATTTTCAGAGACAGTTTTAGAAAATAACAGCATTGAATGCAGATATTAGGTGTTCGCGACTTGGCTAAGCGCCTCAACATACCTGCAAGTGCCCGAGATTGAGAGTAACTTGATTGGAAGTATCCTCAGAAATTTTAGCAGATCGTTGAGGCGCATCACGTCGGCGCAAATACCTTTGAGTGTCCACTAGAAAACGGTCGAGAATACCGCTTGATTGCATTCGTAAAATTGCCTGAAAAAAAAAACAGTTTATCTGAACGCATGAATGCAATAAGTTGTCATTAATAACAGCGACACATATCTGTTTCAAATCGCGTAATTTTGTTCAAAATTTACTAAGTTCATTTACATAGACGCTAGATATGCGAATTCAATTTTATCCACCCGCCATAAATTCTCACGAATCCTGTGATTACCAATGCTAGGCCACAACATAACTCACGCGATCTATGTTGTCCTTGAGAGGCGAGTTGAGTTTTAGAAGCGCCCCAACGCTGTTGGTGTAAGGACACTCCTCCATTAGACGCACCTGCATCAAGAAAAGTAATATATATTTTGTAAACAGAGGCTCCCTATCATAATTTAAGCGCTTGCCAGTTTCGGGCTGGATGTACTCGCATAAAGAGTTGCTTGACGCCCACGCTCCGTTCCAGTTTAACGAACAAAACGAATGAGAACTTAATTAATGAATGAAAATTTTTTTGGGGCCTATTGCGAGCCTGATACCTTCCACAGCGTGTAAGGCTGATTCTGAAAAGTAAGTATATAATTGATTTTGACTGATTGATTTTTATTCACGATTCAATTCGAAAGAAAAAAAGAAAAACATTTATAAAATAATAGAGACATCCAAGTGAATGCCCATAAACAGATAAGCTTCGCAAGCAACAGAGGTGATTTAAAACTCTATTCCAATGATAAGGCAAAGAAATTGCCAGCTTCCTGCCAGGAAGAGACAGGCATTGGAATAAATATACTACATAAATGCAGCGTGCCACAATTTGCCGAGTTTTGGGATCATCTGAGTAAGGATTATCTAAGTCGCTTAATATTGAAGCAGGTGATTTTTTCAACTAGGAAATATTTAAGCCTTGCGGTAATACTTTGTCTATTTTTAGTGTTGGAAAAGTAAGGACATTTAAAATTGTTCGAGACGAAGCCGCTCATGACAAGATCCTATTTTGTGCAAATTGCCCTGTCGCATATACATTTCTTTCTGAATGCTTAATATTCTATTAATATTAACAAATTGGTAGCCTTCAGTATTTTGCATGACGGTAGAACGATTAAGATACACGGTTTGAAAAAGCGTTGGAGAAGAAATGCATGAGATAAAGATTCTATAGCCTGTCTCTGACCCATATTTAATTAGGATTGAAGGCCAAAATAGCAAGATTAAGGGTTAGCTCAACGATAAATGACGTTAGCTCAACGTTAAAATGTTGTAGATAGTGATTTGCAAGTTGGTTGGTTGCATTTAAAATTACGTTGGAAATTGAGGTTATTTCCATTAATAGTCAAGTTTGTTTAATTTTGTTGGTTCGACGTTGAATCTTAGTTATAATCATGACAACGTGCATTTTGCCGAATTTTTCAGTTCGGTTGCAAAACATGTCAGAGAATCTTGTTCTGATATAATTGTGTTTAATTTTATTATCTTTCGATTAATGCTCACATTACAGTGTTTATCCAATTTGTATTGATGGCGAATTTTGACAGTTTTGTCCGGTGTCAATCAGGCGTCTCATTCTATTCATTATAATTGAAACGTTATATTCACTGGACGTGGTGGAGATTGATGGAAAAGTACTTTACCTCTGTCAGCATGGACAACATCACGTGACAGATCGCGCGATTGAGTCCTTAGTAGTGGGCGAAAGCCGTGATCCTATAAAAGGGCTGGGAACCTTATTTAAGGCCCCCCCAGAAGCTAACAAGTACGCCGCAATGTAACTCGTGTTTGAAGCTACTCCGACCTAACGGTCGACGTCTTAGCCTTATACCACTAATATAAGACTCATGTATTATATACCACCCCGTATTAAGATAAGTTCTCTAGACGGATGGTGTCGTACTTATTCCTCACATACTTAGTCAACGAATCCCCGTCCTCAGGTTCAGGTAGAAATATATAATCAGTCATGTGGCTCTTAATATTGCCGCCTGACAGTTTCCTGAGTTGTGAAAAATCTATCCATCGTGATATCGGGAATGAAGGATAAACCTTCTAGAACTGAAATGAATTGATACAACCGCTCGATTATTATTTACGGTCTCATAACGACCTTCCTGTCACTGACTAAAACTCGATTTCATAATGACTTTAATATTTGGAATTCGGGTATTGTAAAAAATTAACTTTTCGTGCAATGGCTCACCTGGTTTTCAGGCAATGAATCCATGAGAGCTCGTAAAGTTTTCGAGACTGCGAAAATCGTCATCTTGCCTTCCACAACCTCACTGCAGGCAAATAAGCCAATAATAAGTTTCCTCAAAGCATTAACTCGACCTTATATAAGACACTGTAAACAAATATTGTATTTATCTGTGTGAAAGTACTGGGAACCACACGATAAAAGAAATAATTACCATATGCACTCTATTAGTTATTAATCCTCATGAAATTCGATTCAACTGATCGGTTGAGCTTGTTCCTACTCAACACATTGCGAAATTCAGTGAAAGATGCTGTGGCTTATAAATTTATGCATTCGCAATGAGCATGCGTTTAGGCCTAAAGTAATACGGAAGCACCTTAAAACTAGTTGTCCTGCATAATGAAACAGGGAACAACGCCGAATTCATTTAATTACCATATTCAGAATTCGCCGGAGAGGTAAAAAATATTTTGAAATATCCAAATGGAGTCATTGAGCAAGCCAACAATGATGTATGTATTTGGCGAGGGAGCAAGCATGAGGCTCAGTGTGGAATCGATGAAGTACCAGAAAAGTACGCACGTCTATTAGGGCAAACGCGATTAAAATGTCTACTCGGCCGCCAGTGAAATGTAGTGAAGTCAGTTCATTTCTAATAAATGCCTGTGACGCGATTATTCTTGGTAGTATTTCTTCAGACATTCAAAACTAATATCAACTGATTATCACCAGCATTACAAATTCACTAATCTGGAGATGAAAACAGTCACTAACATGTAAGAGAGTGCACCAATGAACTCACATGCAATCATTAATCCGCGTCAAATTCTTTACAACCTGAGTGAAATCTCCACCTGAAATTACCGCTCATAATAATAATCACATTACCCGTCATTGTTATACGAATGAAGCAGCAATCTATTGATAATTTTCTCACCTGAGGTGTGAGGGGAAATCGTCGAGACTAACATAACGTGGAACAAGC